CAAGGTCAGACAGGATTCAGTTCCTTTTGGGGGTATTTAGGCCAGACTAGAAGTTTGCCTTAGGATCTCCATAAATCAGAAACAACTTGGGCACACCGGAACAACACCAAATCCATTCATCTACACCCTCTTTCTCTCTCTTACCTGCATTTAGCATCCCTCTTTCTCTCCTCTCTCTTTTTCTGTCTTTCTCACCTGCAATGCACTTGCTATTGCTATTTCCCCTCCCTCTCTTTTTGCCAGGATCAGTATATCATCTGCATTCGGATTGTCTTCTCTCCTCATTTTGCATTCCTCTAAGGGCATGGGTGTTGTTATGTACCTTCAAGTCCTTTCCACTTTATCAAAGGGTTTTCTTGGTAAGATTTTTTGGGGGGGGGGTTGTCTTTGCCTTCCTCTTAGGCTGAGAGAGTGTGACTCACCCAAGCTCACAGGGTGGGTTTCCATGACCCAACAGGGGTTTGAACCTTGGTCCTATACAGTCCTAGTATGACATTTGGACCACTACATGAACTGAAATACAAAGGGTTTTGAGATGTTTGCCATTCTCTTCCTCTGAGGCTGAGAGACTCGGGAAATCCTCCCCTCACCCCAATTTTTACCTTTTCAGTGTAGGATTAGAAGAGGTTTACACCTGGTTTTCAATTTCCTGTTTTTCTGCTGGTAATTCAGGTGTCCTTTCCGAGGGGTGCTGGAGCTAATGCATTTCCTCGCTGCCTTGTGGATAAAAAACAATAGGAAACCATTCAATTTCTGTCCTGCTCAAGCCAAGAATGTGGAACATTACTTTTTTAGACTATTGTCTGGGGGATTTGGGGCACTGTAGTCCAGAAAACAAACTTCCCAATCCTCTTGGTATGATTTGTCAGCGGAGCCGATGGGGAACGTGAAAACTAAGATTTATCCCAGCTGAAGGTTTTATGGATTAGAGTTAGACTCTTGCTTCTCACAAGAAAATCAGAAATTCAGGCATAATAAATCTACGCAGCTAAAATCTCTGCATGGTATCTTGTTGCCGTTAACCCACACTTTTTGGGAAGAATTCATTCCATAAACCCTTTTGAAAAGTTCACTATTTCTCATTCTCACTTAACAGCAGCCCTGCGAGGTTATGGTGAAAAAGAAGGAAAGAGGAGGAGGACTTTCATGGCATCAAACATGGGCCAGCAAGCCCTCCTCCTGCCCTGCCTGTCCTACCTCACAGGGCTGTCGGGAGGCAAAATAAATCTATTTATTGTGGAGGAAAGAAATGTGAATGGATGCCAATAACTCCCCTGTCTTTTTGCATTTCAGCCCACAGCGTCCAGATGCATCTCCACTTCGACCTGTCCAACGCGGCCAAAAACGAGAAGATTTTGTCCACCGAATTTCATCTCTTTAAACTCCGGCCAAAACTGTCTGACCAGCTGAATCCCAGCGCCCCACATTTCTGCAAGGTAAGTGAGCCCAGAAACAAAGCATTTCCCTGGGCACTCACTTATGCTCAGAGGCACTCTTGTCCTTCCTCAGGAATTCCTAGGACAGAGGTGGGAAGCAAGCCCTCCTTCCCTCGGATAAAGCCTGCAAGGCCTGTAATAACTCAAGGCAGCAAAGTTTTAACTTTTAAATGTACTCTAGGGTTGCGTTTTCCTTATCCAAAATGCTCGGGACCCAAATAGTTTGTGATTTTTTTTCCTTCAGATTTTGGAATATTTGCATCAACATAATGCAATCTCTTGGGCTGCATCTACACTGCAGAGTAAATGCAGTTTGGATTGCCATGGCTATGGAATTCTGGGATTCATGGTTTTGTGAGATATTTAGTTTTGGATTCCAGATAAGGGAGACTCAAACTGTATTATTATTATTATTATTATTATTATTACCAGACTCAAAAAAGACTGAGGGAGAAATTCTTGGCTCCAAGGAGGGTGGAATGGCTGCCTTGGAGGGTGGTGGACTCCCCTTCTTTAGGGACCTTTAGGGCTTTAGTTGTGCATAGCAGAAGGGGCCCTTGGAGTCCCCTTCCAAATCAGGGAGCGCTGAATTTGGGATGCCATCCCACCTTTTGTTTCCCCCACTCCAAGGTGGATGTCTTTCAAGTCATGGACAAAGAGAATACGGATTACCCCTCTGGGAAGAAGCTCCTCTCCTCCAGAAAGTTGGCTGTCCAGGGATCCGGCTGGGAGATTTTTTACATCACGCAAGCGGTCAGTTGATTTGGTTTGGGGTTTCGTTGGTGCTGTTGATCATTGCCTTAAGCTTATGGTAACCCTCTGAAGGGGAGACCCCCACGAGGCTTGGTCTGCTCAGGTCTTGCAAACTCAGGTGGTTTCCTTGATTGAATCTCTCCACCCGGAAGAGGGTCTCCCTATTTTCATACTGCCTGCCACCTGACCAAGCCTTGTTGTCTTTTCTAATGAGCCACATGTTTGTTTTATGACCTTGTTTTCCCTGGAGATTGCAGCTTGGCTCAATGGCT